ACCAAGTGTTTCTAAAATTTCTTGAATCTAATAAATAAATGTAAATGGTACCGTTAGAAACTTCAACGTTCTTTTTTAAGTATTTATTAATTAGTAATCTAATAGTAGTAATATATAGACAAAAACATACCACTTCTTCCTTTTCTCCCTTACTAACATCTGATCCAAGTTTAAGGTTTGAGGCAACTTTCATTGCTTCAGCTACAGTTAAATTCGCATGAAGTTGATTATCTTGCATTATGTAACATGATAATTTTCTAAAGGCACTAAGATTTCTCTCATGGTCATTCATTGTGATACTTCCTTCAGCACCTGTTGATCTAAACATATATTCAAGTTTTAAGATGTCTGGTGTATACAAAAACCTACAGACATCTCAAAATTCCAAATATTTAGAAAAATACAAGTACTTGAAACATTTTATAGACATTAATAAACATTATATACCTTCTTACATTTATTTACTGTCTACAATGTATATTTTAAAATGTACAAAATATGTTCTTTTTATTATTACAATTATAATCAAAATAAATTTTATTCACTTGATTGTATATATGATAATTTTACACAGATTTTCACAAGATCGTTTTTGATTTATTTACATAGTTTTTTAAACAAATGTATGTAAACAAATCTTCAGTTATCAATATTTTAGAATTGATCTAATTGTAATTGAAATGCTTATTTTTCTACTTAAAGTACTTGAAATTTTACAAATGTACATAGACTTCTGTAACCGACTGTACAGGAAATACAGAAGGATATCCAGAAGGTTACTAGAATTAATTAAACAGGAAGAATAACGAATTTTATATCATTTGTAAGCAATGAACGTGTTTTTGCGTCTATAATTTACATAAGCGTCGTGTTCATATTTATGACGTCAAATTCCGACGAAACGGAATAATAAAAGGCAGCATAATAAATAATAGTTAAATTTCATTCGTCATCCGGTTGGATTTGTTTAAACTCGATCTAAGGCTGATTAGAACTTGGGAGCGGTTTGAACTTAGGAATTGCTAACTAGCATTACTATTCACAAGTGTATCATAATGAAAATGAAGTTTCTTATTAGTCTTGCCAGTAAATAAATATAATATCGTATCTAAAAAGTATATCATTCATCATCATGTTTCCAAA